TCAAGGACACAGGGTAATACAGGGTGTATACTCCCGGGGGTGGGAATCCTGGGAGCCACAACAGAATTCTGCCTACAACATCATGTATTAATTTTGAATCTTTCTTTTAGAAAAAGAAGTTTAAAGATTTAAATGGAAGCTGAGCTCTTAAATTCTTCTTGGTACCGTTTTTATATCTTAACACATTTAAAACCAGGGCTAAAATGTGTGTGTGATGGGGGCTGGGGGGAGAAAGTAATTTACCGATTACCAAATACATGCCAAGTAGGGTGCTAGATTCCTTTACTTTATAGCTTACTTCCTGTCTGAGAAAAGAACAGCATTTGAACCACAGAGGCACTAAAAAAAGCATGTAGTCAAATCAATTATTAGCATGTTCTTAAGGCTTTTAAGTACAGAGAAGAAAATTAGACAATGATAGTAACTGTCATTAAGTTGAAAGGCTAAAACTAGTACTTCCAAATTTTCCTAAATGAGTAACTGAGCATGCTTTTGATGGTTTGGAAAACAAATACTCCACATTTCCCAGCATAATGAACTTTTTTTTTTTTAAAGCAAAACAGATTTTAGTTGCACAGAATTTAAAACAGACTGTAGCTTATGTAACGAAATTTAATGGCCTAAAATATCTTCTCCTAAATCATGCCAGATTTTATTAATCTATGAATAAAATTTACTCTAGGATGGCACTGCACATATTTAATCATAGTCAAATCTTTCTTCATCTAGAAGATCAAATACAGCTAATATTGCTTCGAAAATAAAAACTACAAAGGACCACAGAATTAAGAAACATTTTAAACCACATTTAAACTCAAATATTGCTTAACCCGACTTTCATCCTGAAGCATCAAGGGGAAGTATGAAGTACGGTCTTTGTGCAGAGCAATCAAGATAAAAACATCAAATAATTTCAGTTTTCAAAATGGTTTTATTAAATATTTAAAGACCTGTATGAAAGTCTTTGGTAATATAGTAATGTTAGAAGATACGCAGCAAATCATAAACACAAGTTGAAAACCAACTCAAAATAATGATGGTTATTTTTAATAGCTAGTTCTGTTACTACACAAACACAGGCTGATTAAGATAGTTGAAAAACAACAAATATGAAATGGCTAAACATCAGAGAAATAACTGACTCATAATAATATAGAACACCTAAATTATTTCACTGATATAAAAATGCACTGAAATGTTTGTGTTCACGAATAAGATATCATGATAATAACATATGCTTGAAGGTCAAAAGAAAATTTCTTCTTATAAAATCATAAAAATTTTAAGAAGCATTTTGGCCAAAAATGCCTCATTGTTGGGTCTCAACCCAGAGAAATATTTTGGAAAACTGGAAGAAAAACTATTTCATAGTTGTTGAGGTGTCTCAAGACGGTTGAAAAAGAAGATATTTTCCCCATTCTTATTTGGGCATTTTTCACGCATTCACACATGGCATAAATTTAAACTTTGAACTGGCATGTAGAAAATCCTGTATGAGGAAATCACAATCCAGATATAATCACAGTCCAGAAATAAAAGCAATTTTTGAACACAGCACAAAAGAATATTTGCAGTGCCCTGTCTCCTTACTGGTGAATTAGGCATTCACTGCAGAGAGGTGTTCACACTGTTACCCAAAGACCAAATCAACACATGTTGGTAAGTGAGACAGCATTTGGAAGCTCCTTACAAGGAAGCAAATGAAATGAAGAGTATATATCATTTCTATAAGTTAAATATATATATATATATATTATATATGTACATATATGGGGATGGGAAGCTGGAATCACAAAGAATTCAATGTAATGGCACACTAGGTAATAAACACCAACTCTGAACACTAAAAAAAGGTGGGTGAAACCGAGGGCAATTACTTGAAAGCATCCAAATGCCAACAAGCCAGTGAAAAATTACAGGACAGCGAAAAAGTAAACATACACAGGTAAGCCCAGCATCTGGGGCTACTATTCTCATAGGGACATCTGCTGAGGAGGCAAGCTGAGCAGGGCTTTCAAAAGACTCACAGGAAAGGGGACAAAAAGTTCAGGGCTTATCAAAGAGAAAGGACTCTGGTAAAGGCTTCTGGCTTTGGATGGGGACTGAATCCAACTTCAAAATCTCAAGCCCTTTCTTGATTTAAGGTAATTCAAGATCCTAATTACCCCTACCTGCCTTCTGAAAGCAAAACTAAATCAATTCTGAATCTCCCGGATATAATCTCTGCTCTCTCTCACATACATTCAATGTCAACACACAAAATAACAAGTAGGTGTACTAGGAGAGAAATCAACATCACGAAAAACAGAACCACAGGGCAGCAGATATCCAATTATCACACACAGACTTTAAAGTGACTTTATATAAGAAAATCAGACAAGACTGAGAATTTTGTCAGAAAATTTTTCCAAGTACCAAGTGGATATTCTAGAACTGGGGAAAAAAAAAAACCTACTAAAGATGATAATTTAGTGAATGGGTTTAAAAAATTAGACATAGCTTAAGAAAAAAAATAGTAAACTGTAACACAGTTTCAGAAAGAAATATCCAGAATGAAGATGGGGAAAAGGATAGAAAATACAGAATTAAATATGGTTGAAAGTTTTCGAAAACTGACAAAAATTATTTTTAGGTCATTAGTTAATGCTGAACAACTCCATAGCACATAAGTATATGTGCTGACATATCCACACAATCCATGATGTGGGAAACTTCTTAAGACAAACCATTATCTTCAATAAATTGCAAGTAAGAAGAGAGATGAAACAGAAACCCAAAGGTTAAAGAGACTTCAGAACCAGAGCAACCAATCACAGTATGTGGACAGTAACTGGATCCTGACTCAAACAATTGTCCTTGGGAAAAAAACAACTGTGAGATCTGCCAGACAACCTGAACACTAATTGGATGTGATGATATCAGAAAAAGTATCTTTTGGAGATACGTATTTACAGATGAAATAGAATGACTGAAATCTGCTAAATACAAACAGGGCAAGTAACAGGGTTATAAATTAAACACAATTTGCTGTAAGTATTGAAATAAGTGATAGATTCATGCAAATTCATTGTACTTTTCAGTTTACTTTGTTCAAAATTCACCATAATAAAGTTTTATAGACTTATTTTGGTACTCTTGATCATCTTTACTATTTACATGTGCATTTTAGTTGGTTCTGCGATCTTTGTCTTTGTTTTTGCCTATTACTTAGAGATTTGTAGATCTTATTATGTATTAGAAAAACTAGCCCTTTCTCATTAGTTGCCAGAATTCTTCATTTTGTTTATGGTTGTTTTGTGGCATAGCTTTCTATTTTAAAGTGGTGAGATTTACCAAAAGAATACTTTTATCAGTGTATGTCATACTTGAAAAGACATACTTTCCTACTTCACATTTATAATGTTCATCCACGGTTTCTTTTGGTACTTTCTGATTTCACTTTTTCCGCCTACATTTAAAGTCTAACTCATCTGGAATTTATAAGAGTGAAAATGGGACCAAACTATTCTTTTTCCCAATAGCTATCAGCTGTCCCAACACAAATTACTGAATAATCCATGTTTCTACTGATTTGAAATGCTGCGCTTGGGTTACTGAATTCCCACATACATCCTAAATCTGTTTCTGGGCTATTTCATTGACTTGTCTATTGCAAACCAGTAGCATTCTGTTTCACTTACTTATGTCTTATATTGTAATAAGTTATTTACCAAATTAAAAAATTTCTCCTAGCTATTCTTGTATGATTATTCGAGATATACTTCTGATGATTTTCACATTTAAAAATCCTCATAGGATAAATATGAATAAAACTGCTACCCTTATACTAAGCCTTTCTAGTCAAGAACAAAAATCATTTTTTCCAGTAATTCAAACCTCTCATATCTCTTAGTAAGCAGTGTGTCTTGATTTATGGTGTCTGGTACATAGTAAACATGGTTACTGAATGAATGACTCTATTGAACCAGTATTTGGGGATTAAGTATCATTATTAGAAAAGTCTGAAAACTTTAAGAAATCAGTGGAGCTTATAAACAGAGTACCTTTTGGATGTTACAGAAAAAAATCCTAACTAATTAAAACCTTTAATCAGTATCTTTTTTGTACACCTGTACAAAAATTTTCATGGATATTCAGAATGACCTTAAAGCTCTGTACAATTCCAAGGTATCCTCAAAATCACAACAAACACACACACACATAATTTCATATTCACTTACCGTAACATGTACTCTCTTAAATCCTACTCATTTGAAAATTAACAGTTTAACTGGGTAGCTAAAGAAGGAAATCATTAGGTTAAAAAACAAGCTAATAGATTATTGCATTAAATTAGGAGAGGTAATCAAGACATGAACTAAGCTAATGGCAACAGAACTAGAAAAAGATTAACCAAATAAAGGGGAAAAAACAGAGTCTAAAAGGATCCCAGCATTTGAGCTGTGGTGGCAGAGAATAATGGCACTAACCACAGAAATAGGCAAATTATGAGGTTAGTCAATTTTAAGGAAGATGATAATTTTAACTTAACGCAGGCTGAATTGGAGGCGAGGAGCGACAGGGCAAAGTCCAGTGCACAATCAAGATCAAGTACTAGCCGGTGGGGCTGAGACAATGATTTGACAGTCATAAGCCCAGAAGTGATGATGAAGCTATGGAAATCAATGTTATCTGAAAACTGTTTATTTGAACCCATCTTACTGGTTAACAAAAGATAAATGAAGTGCTACAGTTCACCCTTATTCTAAGCGTAGTTACGTCTTAAAAAAAAAAAAAAAAAAAGGTAAATGATGATGTGTCTGGGTGGCTCTGTCGGTTAAGCGTCTGCCTTTGGCTCAGGTCATGATCCCAGGGTCCCAGGATCAAGTCAGGCATCTGGCCACTCGTGTGCTCTCTCTCTCAAATAGTCTTTTTTTTTTTTTTTTTTTTTTAAGTGAATGAGTAAAATAGAAAAATATGCAAAAGGTATTATGGTTCTCTTTTTAAAAAACTCAATTACATAAAGTTAAAAAGGAAACCAGTCAATATTGATAACTGAATTTTATAATCAGTAATGCCTAGCAATCAAGCAGGGAAACTCCAAAGATATTTACTGTTGGGTCTATTAGAGAATGGGAAAGAAGGGGATGTGAAGGGACATTACCACATAAATCATTAATTAACAAACAGCCCTTCTAAATCACCAAAATTAATCGTTAACAAAGAATAGCAAGTTGAAGCTTGGCTCAAATGCTGGGATCCTTTTAGACTCTGTTTTTCCCCCCCTTTGTTTGGTTTAATCTTTTTCTATTTCTGTTGCCATTAGCTTAGTTCATGTCTTGATTACCTCTCCCAATTTAGGTGAAGCTTGTGTGAGTTTTACATTGATATGTGTATTTATAGAGTTACAATACACATTTTAGATGGAATAAAAAAAACAAAAAACAAAAAAGAGTCTTTGAGTTTCAGATTCCATCTCATGACATCAGTCGGCTTCATAATCCACCTTTTACTGTTAAACTTTGGGACAGAGAACATGTCAATATGCTATTTTACACCACGCTCCAAGTCCAGGTGTAAACTCAGCAAAGATTAATTAAAACCCTAATCATTAAGCTGCATTAATCTAAGCCAAATACCAGTAACTCTGTAACAGGAAAAGCTTCAAAAATGTAAGACTTTCATTGTACCTAACAATTTAATAAGTTAAAAGAATTCTGGTAACCCAGAACATAATACAGACATGATCTGTAATCTTTTTGTTAATTGGAAGCCATTTTATTTGACAGCATCCATCACAGTAAGTTTTCAATTTATAACCTGTATTTTTTTGTTAATTTTGCCTTGGCCTATTCCAAATTAGGTATTTTGCCATGTTATACTGGCTTCAAAGTGTAACATTTACTATTCAAGTTGAATCTTTCCAATACCCTCATTTAAAATGTTTTAGCACTACATGTTAACAGCTTCGAAACTTTACCAAAGGGGGACGGTAAGTTTAAGTGCATTTATCTAAGAGTAGACAGAAAAAGTGAATAATGCCTTTAATCTAGCTTTGACTCCACTGAGTTCTTAAAGGTGGGTGGGATACACATACCACAGATAACATATGAACAGTATATTTTTAAATAATTTGTGGTGATTTTATATATCCTGTATTATACATATTACAGATTAAAGATTCTATCTAAAATAGACATTTTCTGGGAGTTGCTCCATGGGAATTCCAGAGGAGCATTGTAATGTTTATATTGTTTGGAATATATATCCACAAGTAACTGAACTCTGCATGAAACCAAAATAAGCCTTTCAAGTATTTAAAATAAATTTTCCAACATCATCCTGAGGTGAAAAGTGATTTTTGGTTATGCTTTCATTCCAAGTATATACTGTAAAGAATTTCTCATTAATAAGGCTTTACATGAAATTGTGTGTCATGACCTGGTATTTCCTGAATGATGACTTTAAAAACTACTTAAACCTTACTTCCTTATTAAATATTAAGAAGAAAGACTCCTCAGAGGTATATGGGGGTCAGCTTCTGGACCTTTATGGAAAATTTAACAGCCAGATTTTATCTACCCTTAATGATGAGATCCATGGAACTCAAAGTTGCAAAAAAGGAGAAGTGATCTAAAACTACTTGGTATGAACAGACTGTCTAAAAGCACTGCCTTAGTTTTTATTATTTTTACACAAAAACCTTCAACAGCTTACCACTGAAAATACACTCAACTTCCTTAAATTGCCATTGGCAGTCCTTCATGATCTCACTCAACCTTAACTCTTTTTGAGTATCACGGTAAAAACTATATCCCAACCCACCCAAACTGCCAGTTCTCCAAATACACTTCCCTCTTCCTGACTCTTCCTCAGGCTGTCCTCTTTTCCAGAACAATAAACCCTATGCCCCTCTCTCAGTCTACCTATCCTTTCAAGATCTACCTATGCTATTCATCAATGAAGCTTTCTCCGATCATCTCAGGCAAAAATGGTTTATTCATTTCTATGGTGTTTTGAATGTTGCACTCCTACAAGATTTCCTGAAAGGACTGAATGGAGACCTGAGGACAGCTACTCACCAACCGAATGCCAAACTCTGGCAAGTGAAGGGTTGCTATGTGGACAAGCTGTGACTGCTTGGTTGCTCTTCCTGCTAGCTTTGCTGTGGATGTTCCCTGTGTTGGCTTAAACGACACATGCAAATGTAGCTTTTCCCTACTGTGGTACCAGCAAGCTGTAAGTAACTGAACAGAGCTGTACTTTAAAGGCCAAGAAATTTCTAGGAACATGACGTAACTTGAAACAATTCTAATTCTGTTCTCACCTGACCACAGCCCCTGAGCAAAAGGAAGAGGCACGTAGTAAATGACAGCAGGAAGTCCTACTTCGACTGTATTTTCTCTTCTCCTCTGTGATCCCTAGAGATCTGTGAATGAAATAAGATTATAGAGTTTTTCCTAGAATGCCTCTGGCCAATTCTCTAATTTCCTAAGGATTGATAGTAACTCCAGGAATTATACTGGTGGGCCATAAAATCCGGAACGATGTAGAAGTGAAATCGATCTGATCTAGGTAGGCTCATATCCAAATTCTTTCACATACTGAGCAAAACTCATTGTAGATAAAGGCTACTCAATGGAAGCTTAGTAACAAACAGCTAGAAAAGAAACACCTTGAACTTTTTCCCAACCTTATTGCTGCAATCAGTTTTAAGTAAGAAGTGGCAATGACAAGTTAAGTGTAGATTATCTCTAATATGTAATAAAAACCACGTTTTAAAAATTTGGGAGGTGAAAAAGAAGTTATGAGAAAACAGTAAATTTGTAGTCTATGTTCATTTGACTAGAACTAAAAATTTTAGATTAAAATATCTTTGTAGATTAAAATCCATCACATAATTAAACCTCAGCCTGAAAAGTAACACAAACCTACAGTGTCCAAGTTGTTCTATAGATTACAAAAAAAAAAGAAGAAAGAAAATGCCAACACATATTTTATATGCTAAATGATCGTTTTAGACTTAACATCAACCTAAAAAAGAAACCCTCCAATCAAATATCTGGAACAAAAAAAATCACCTCATTTAGGGGCACCTGGGTGGCTCAGTCGTTGAGCGTCTGCCTTTGGCTCAGGTCATGATCCCGGGGTCCTGGGATCAAGCCCTGCATCGGGCTCCCTGCTCCGCGGGGAGCCTGCTTCTCCCTCTCCCACTCCCCCTGCTTGTGTTCCCTCTCTCACTGTGTCTCCATCAAATAAATAAATAAATAAAATTTAAAAAAAAAACACCTCATTTAGAAACTCTACCATAATTATGCTTTTTAAACCTCTTTTTAATTCTTGGTACAGATTCTAGCCCAGCAGAATAAACCTAATTAAAGAACAAATGAAAAATGGCTTTTAAAAGAACTGTATAGGGGTGCCTGGGTGGACCAGTTGTTAAGCGTCTGCCTTCGGCTCAGGTCATGATCTCAGGGTCCTGGGACCGAGCCCCGCATCGGGCTCCCTGCTCCGCGGGAAGCCTGCTTCTCCCTCTCCCACTCCCCCTGCTTGTGTTCCCTCTCTTGCTGTGTCTCTCTCTGTCAAATAAATAAAATTTTAAAAATAAATAAATAAAAGAACTGTATAGAAGAACACTGCTACTTGTTTGTATAAAAGAACGCCGTATATGTATGAAAAATACGGATACTTGTCTGTTGGTTTCAGATGTGAAATCAAAACAGCAGGGCCACACGAGTGCAGAACTCTGCTGCTTCATAACAATTCCATTAGTGAGTCCCCGAAAGATCCCAAGCAGAGCTCATTAGAGTTTCTGACCTAAAATTTAGATGGGAAGCTATTTTGAAAACCACTATGAACTGTAAATCTGAATTCTGAGTAGCAAGAATAACTTACATGCCACAAAAAATAAAAAATAAAAGTAACATGTATAACGTGCCAGACTCCTGACCTAGCACTTTCCGATGTACCCCACGTAATCTTCACAAAAATCTGAAGTAGGCACTATTATCGCCCCCCTTTTCCAGAGAAAACAACGGGGGCCCTGAGAGGCTGAGTAATTTACGAGGAAGCCAGTCTGGCTCAAGTCCCCTGTTTTCAAGCACTATTCTCTTGGCTTCTAAAACCGAAAGTTACTCCACAGGGAATGTATGGAAATTATATTTCAATACGTATCTATTTTGAACAGGAAGAAAGGTTTCAAAAGATAAGAAAAAGAATACTGGGAATATCATATAGTAGAAACAGGGTTTTATTTTTGAAAGCAGAAAAAGTACCTAGCATTCTAGAATACAATGTACCAATATTTTTATATATCTGGCTTAGAATACCTAGAATGTGGTGAATGAAGTGTCTGCATTCCTATCTTTTAAAAACATTAACGTTTTTGCAAATCTGTTTTAATTTATATGTGAAATAAAACAGGAAGACCTGTTTTAACTTATATGTGAATACGAGTACTTCACTTGAAGAATACAAAAAACACATACTAGAAGAGTACTAGCAAATTCTGAAGGTTTATTGTATTCGCTGACTACATATGTACATACCCAGAAGTTCCTTTAAATGATTTCCATCCAGGGCCTCATGTAGATATCAATAATGGTTTGATTCTAAAACTGATTTCTACCACTTGCTTTGCATAGTTTATTTAAAGTAAATTCCAATCCTCTATCACCTATGCCTTGTGGCACTGAGGCTTATCAGACTGAACATGTCCCAGAACTTCAGACCAGAAAGAGGCCCAGTGAAAAGATCATGAAAACAGACAGTACCTATGACAGTGGGTACCTGTGAGAGAGTTTCACACCAGTTCTTCCAGGCGGTCGAAAGAGCAATGTTCTCGGGGAAAACCAGTTCTTCAAGCAAAGGAGTAGCCACTAAGCCTGAGTACTAACTGTTCTCTTCCCATTGGTGTGTGTGTCATTTTCTGGACTGCTACTTTTTATGGATTCCAGCAAATTTTTAATTCGCTCACTTGCAGGCTTCTTCCTTTTCTTCTTGGCAAGAGACACACTGCTTAGCACTGAAGGCTGCAGCAGTGACGCCAGCCCCCAGGGCTGATGACTTGATGGGGAAGGGCGGTCTTTATCTTCCTGACTTAAAATCCAGGCACTTTCTTGGGCCAGATCTACAAATTTTTGTAGCTGGCTTTGATTTACGTTTTTGCTGATGTTGAGAGATGTTTCAAAAGGATTCTGAATGTGCAGTGGAGAAGACTCTGGTTTGTTCTGTTCCCTTCCCTATAGATTATTGTAAGGAAGAGAAAATGTATAAATATATGAAAGGCTCAGCTATAAGAACGATTTCGTTTAACAAAATGTCAAAAACGGCAAATCCCAGCATTTACAGAGTAAAGAACTGCTTTCCTAAGAGAATTGGGTATGTATGCATATTATGTATTTGTGTGTGTGTGTGTGTGTGTGTGTGTGTGTGTGTGTGTGTGTGTGTGTGTGTGTGTACTTCTGGCTGATTTTTTTACCACTGTAGTTCTGTGATTATTCTTTAGAGAAAAATAAATTAGGTTTATGAGCTATGGATGATGATGCTCAGATGAGAGGTATCTAGACTAACTCAATCAGCAGAAGTATTTTTGAAGTATCAACTTTGACCTAAGAGGATAAAGCGAGGAAGGGAAAAAAAAATGAAAAATTGTAGAAAATAAAATGAAGACACTTATTTTGAGACTTGCTAAAAACAACAGAAGCACACAAAATTAGAATCCTTAAATTAAATACAGTAATTAATGTTTCCCAAGAATAAAGTCAGAAAGGAAGAGAAGGAACAAAGGATTATTCATTATTCATTTTAAAAACACTGAAAGTTTCCTATTACATTCCTAAAAATCCAACTTACATAAGGCCCTGACAGGTAAGACCACATCTCATAGAAATAAAAAGAAAAGCTAAAGCTGTGATTTATATGACCATATCACATGTACTATTAAAATATTAACAAAACGAATGTCCAAGATTCTCCAGTGTGAGCAGCACCTCTTTACTCCCTAACTTCCGTCATGCCCTGCCCATCAGGGGTCCTGCCTGTCCAGCAACTCTGCCGTCTAGGGCTAAGAGCACCGAAAGGCTAAGGAACTTCCCGTGACCAGTGACCTTCTCATAGGGAATCTAATGCCACAGGAGCTTGCATCTCAGGGCTCTGGGTCCCCTCCTCCCTTCCCCACACTGTGTTGTTGTTGTTGTTGTTGTTGTTGTTAAACAAAATCTCCATGACCAGGATTAAGAGGCAAGGATGAAAAAAGGACGAGCTGAGTAAGACAACAAAAAAGAGTATCTGCTTACGTGTTTTACGTAGCCAGTCTTACAATGGTTGTAACCAAGTACCCAAATGCTAAGCAGAATAAACCCAAATAGCTCTCTCAAATCCCCCACTTGGTAACAAATTTTGCCTAGAATTCTGCTCTGGATTTGCTTTTTTTTAAAAAAAAAATGTCTATTATTCCAGCTGAAGCAAAATCATAAATTCATCTGCCTCAACAAATTTAGAACTCAAACTGAGAGAATCACTAAAATCGATAGGGCTGTGTATCCTACTTCTTCCATGGACAAAAAAGCAGTTTAACAAGAACTGTATATAAAATTTTTTCCAGAAAATTTTTCAGAAGAGTCCACATTTTGAAGGATGCTGTATTAGATGCTGAAAGAGCTGGCTTCTGCTCTTCCAAATAACTAGATGAATGATCGCATGCAGCTCCTCGAGGCATCAATTTCCTTATTAGTACCTATTACTGTGCAGTTGAAATACCCTAACATGTTAGAGCACTCTGAAAACTAATTAAATACTAGTAAAGCAGAAGACTAGATACTTCATCATCAAATATTATTTACCTGTCGAATATTTATGGAATTTTTATTGAAAGCGAAATTGCCAAAATATTCAAAAAATTCTTTCAGTAGTGATTCTGCAAGAAAATAAAACGAGGAAAATAAGAGGAAGGTCTGTTTCAATTAAAAACAAATGAACAAAGGGAAAAAAAAACACCTACCTAGTGTTTCTGTGTTTCCTGAAGGTTTAATTCTATTCAAGTCATGAATAAATGTACAGTTGTGGCCTTCTATTATACATTTATCTTCTGCATCTTCAAAAAACAGAAATGGAAAACATTTCACATTTCAAAGATACTGCCTACTTCAGAAAAGGAATCTATAAGTAACTAAATCAAAGTTAGACTAATGTGTCCTATTATTAGTCAGCGTTATAGATATTTACAGTTAATAGGATTTAAAACTCCTTACCAAAAAGATTTGAGACTAATTACAGTAGAGCAAAATTAGCATTCCATTTTTTTTAGCATACTAAAATTGTCTATCAAAAACCCAACGACTCTTAATCTCTCTTTTGAAGTCATCAGTTTTTCAGTTATAAATGAGAATGTGGATGGTTCCCATCTTTCACCAACTCAAATCTTGGCAGTATCCTTGATCAAAATACTTAATTTCCTCTCCACTTCCATCCTTATCACCCCGTCATGCATATATTTGCAACAAGTCATCCAAGACACAAACTGAATGCTCTAAGAGTTTTGAAGAACTTCTGGTAATTTCTAAAATGCAGGACTCTAAGCAACTAGAATTCACTACCACAAAGTAAACGGCAGCCTGGACTTAAGCATTCACCTTTTCTAATAGTATTTGTCACTTCAGAAGGAATCATTCCCCTCATGATACACAGCCAGCATGAAATTCCTCACCCATTCTAATCTACCTTCCACTGTACAATAAGCAGGCAAATCCTCACTCCTCGAAAATCGAATTAACAGCCAATTCATCTGAAAGCATTTCCTAACTCCAAGTTGGTCATCCTCCGTTAGTTATTTCACACTCCATGAGCACTTATCTGACTGCATTGTGATTGTGTATGCGTGCTGCCCACTCCCCGACCCCAGTCTGGGATTACAAATGTCCCATTCACTACTCCCCCTCTCCACATCAGTCTAGCCACAAGTGTCTAGCACACAGCAGGCACATAACCAGTAATCCGAATGATCAATTACATTTTGAAGGTTATAATCCCCAGCAGGGGGATTAAATATAGAAATCAGAAAGAGATAAATAAGGGTCCTTCAAATTTTTGTCTCCCCTTTTTTGTCGTTTTTGTATTTTTTGTTAAGACCTAGGTTACTAATGTAATTTCTCAAAAATTACTCTAGATCCTAACATATTAATTTTATGTATTTTTTAAAAGATTTATTTATTTAGAGAGGGAGTGAAAGAACACGCGCATGGTGAGAGGCAGAGGTAGAGGGGAAGCGGACTCTGTGTTGAGTATAGCCTGATGTGGGGCTCAGTCCCAGGACCCTGAGATCACGACCTTAGTGGAAACCAAGAATCGGATGCTTAAGAAACTGAGCCACCCAGGCACCCCACATATTAATTTTAATACCAAATTTTATGTCCTCTATTATATAACTTATAGTACCCTGAAGAACTTATACACAGTTACACTTAGATCTATTTTTTTTTTTAAAGATTTTATTTGATTTGAGAGAGGGAGAGAGAGAATGTGAGAGAGCATGTGCAGGAGTAAGGGGAAGGGAAGAGGGACAACCTTGATTTCTGACCGTGGAGCCTGACACTCTGCTCAGTCTCAGGACCCTGAGATCATGACCTGAGCTGAAGTCAGACGCTTAACCGACTGAGCCACTGAGGCGCTCCACACTTAGATCTATTTTTTATGAGACCCAGACACATGTGCTACTCTTTCAAATTATCAACAGTTGTATTTCTTGTGACACAGTGCCAGTCACATATATTGATGTTCTTTTAGCTGCTGTGTCTTTTTTCAGGAACTTATTTCCAATTAAAGCATTACTACCATAGAAATTTGAGATCCACGTTAAAATATTTCTAGAACTGTACAATAATGAAAACCTGAGGCTGTCTCTGTGACTGCTGCTCTTCACTAAAAGTTTTTAACAGAAAGTATTAAAACTTGAAGGAAAAAAAAAGTATCCTCTGATTTAAGATAGGGCCATCTTTGTTTCTTCAAAATCCCTAAGGCATTCAAACCTAGCAGCTTGGCTGTCAAGTCCTGCCCCTCCTATCCTCTCTCCCCCATTTGTCTACTCTAACATCCAGACAACATCCATACCGTCCAATATAATAACCACCAGCCACATGGGGCTATTAAAATAAAAAATTCAGTTCCTCGACCACACTAATCGTACTTCAAGTGCCTAAGAGCCACAAGTGCCCAGTGCCTACCCTACTACGTACAATATGGATATAGAACACTTCTATCATCATAGAAAGTTCTACTGGATAGTGCTGCAATAGAAAAATGATTCTCAACCTATTCAGACATATGAACCCTATCGCTATTAGTTTAAACCTGCGTCACTCTTTTCTTAAAAGTACTGTATGAAACCGTGACAAAAATCTCTAAGTAAATACAAACTCTCAGTTGTGAGGAAAAGAGCCAGGTAAGCACCTTAATTAACTCATACTGGAGCTTGAGGCCACATTCCTTCCTTCACCTTCACCTTAAGTGAACTTAGAAACTATGAAAAAGTAAGGTTATATATTTACTAAATTTGATTTCCTTGCTTCCTTTGGAAACCTCAGAGCCTCATGGATTGGTACGTCCATTACTCTTTTTCAGCAGAGTACACATGACAAATGAAATTCACTGAGTAATGTTCTCACAGACACAGCCAGATTGATAACTTACCCACATTTTTCCAGAGAACTGAGTCACACTAGAGTAATTCATAATTAGTCACAGAGATCACTATTGGCATTCTTAATAGATTACTCAGGGGCTGCAGTACAGATAATCATGTCTATGGGTTGTATAATTGTTTAATCTTTCCGGTCAAAAGAACAAAATCTACACTGTGCCAGCTACACGTATGTCTAGTAAGTCACTTGAAGTTGATAGGCACGTATGTAAGGGGCATAATAGGAATAAAGTTCATATGAAGGCTTACTATTTTTTTCTTTGATGACAAATCTTTTATGATGTCCCATTTTTGTAAGGAGCTTACTGGAACAAAACTTGAATAGCTAAAAATCATATAACTATATTCAGCTTCTATTGTAACTATCCAGTATGCCATGGATCAGTAGTAATTAAGTGGGAGAAGCCAACAGGTGATCTCTGCTGTACTAATTAATGCAGACTGTTTAATACGAGGGGGCGGAGGTGCTATACACTTAGACACATCGCCATTTTGTTTCCCCCTAACCCACCCAGCCAGAATACTTTCTGAAATGCACATCCAAGCAACTGCCTCTCAAGTACTTGGATCTAACCTTGTGAAGAATGTAGGTGTTATGGTTATATCCATGTTTCAAAGGAGCTTTATTTACTGCCTTGTAGTTCACTCAACTCCAGAATGTGACTCAGATACTATTCTTCACATATACACATCTATAATACAGATTGTTCCCTATTAATCACTTACGCTCGTCAACAGACAGGATAAAGTTCTACCTGCTTCTCCCACCAGGCCATATGCTCCAATAACACTCAGCCTCTCCAGGACGGAGCCTATATACTGATTAAGAACACATGCTATGGGGTAAAGATGATGAAATGAACACAACCACCTACTTTCACCCCCTCCCAAAACACCAATGAAACGACAATAAAATGACAAAAATCTTAAAGACGGAGAACAGAAGAAATAATAACAACAAAAATTTTTCAGTTGAAGAGCAGATAGACAAGTAGCTAAGACTTAGGAGATCGGAAAAGACTGAATCCTAAACTAGCAGTAAAGAAAGCCAAGAAAAAACCCATCTACAAGGAAGAGATCCCAACAACTCAGGAACCGCAAGCACCAGGTCTAACTGGAAGCACCAAGACTGGAAGCCTGATGGTTGAAGAAGCAGTTAGATTCCCCCAGATCTCTTCTTCCCTGACAGAAACCTTCGGCTTACTTTGGAGAGGGTAAAAGAAAGGATATCCACACAGAAAGAAAGGAGACACAGCTGAGGGTAGGAAAACTGTTCTAAACGCAACAGTAAGTGAACAAAAGCACAGTAAGTGTCAAAGCAACAGCATGCTAGTAACAGGGTCTTTACTTCCAGAAAAACATTAAAAAAATCATGACTGGGGAATCTGAATAGCTCAAGAAGAATGACCTAGAGATAGCGACATAAGAAGCGCCTGCCAATAAAAGTCTAGCTACATTACCCTACGATAAAGCTCACAGTCAACAAGCCCCACCTAAGCTCAGAGATTCAAATGAACTTTTTAGTTCCTAACTCAAACATGACCAAGAAAATCAAAGACTATCAGATACCTGAAGAAGGCCTCTAACATGACAATAAACTTAAAATGAAAAATGCAATGAAATGAAAAAAAAAGATTTAGAAAAACAGAGGCTACATAATAAGAATTAATTAATAGAGTATTTGATGACTGACTGTTTTGACAAAAGATTTAGACAACTAGTAGCAAGCTGGAGATTCAAGTAATGTTAAGTACATAAAAAACTAAGCAAGCAAGAAAATAAGTAGTATTAAAAACTATAAACTCCAAAGAGTAGAAAAAGTTGGGCAGAAAAGGAAATTAATTTTAGTTTACTCCATGGATTAGACAGGAATAGCATTTACACAGTCATAATAGTATAAAGAGCACATAGCAAAATTAAGCCACAGCCATATTCAGAATACGAGGGGTGGAAGAGATATATGTATGATGAAGATAAAAGATAATTCCTCTTCTTCCGTAAAGGGAAGTCATACATAATGTCTAAAACTAAAAATCAAGAAACATGGTCATCATTTTGCAACATATACAAATACTGAATCATCACGCTCTATACATAAAATATAATGTTGTATATGCCTATTACACTCCCCAGAGAAATACAAAAATTAAGACACTTTATTTTGAAAATATGTTTTATAACAGCAAACAGATCAGCTAAAGGAGTTAAAAGTGGCTGCCTACAGAGCGAGGCAAAAGGAACAGAAGGCACAGGCTGAGTGTGAGTTACTGTTACCAAGTTTGTAGAATATTTTACTCTTTACCAACTATGTGCAACTGTACTTTGATAGAACTGAACTTTAAAAATCAGTTCTTTTCACCAAACACCATTAAGAGAGTGAAAAGGGAACCACAGTGTGTATTTATTTGAGATATAAAGATATACACATAAATCCATAACATGTGACAAAGGACTCATGCGGAATATATAAATTCCTACCAATGAATCTTTGAAAAAGGCCAAGAGAAAAATAGGCAAAAGACTTAAAGAAACATCACAAGAATTACCCAAATGACTGATGTAGATATGAAAAAGTGCTCAACTTCATTAGTCATCAGGGAAAAGAAAACCAAAACATGCCATGATGCCACTACACATACATTTAGAACAGCTACCATAAAAAAGAAGATAATACCACATGTTGGCAAAGATATAGAGCAATTAGAACTTGGCCATAATGCCTATGGGAGTTTACACTTTGGAAAACTGTTTGGCAGTGTCTCCTGAAGCTGAATATACCCAAATGCCAAGACTCAGAAATTCTATTCCTAGTTTATACTTGACAGATAGGAGTGCCTGTGCTCACCAAAAGAAACATGCTAGAATGATATTAGCTATTACCTGTAATGGTCCCAAACTACAAATCATTTACATGCCCATCAAAAGTAGAAGTAAAAATATTTTTTGGTATGTTGATGTAAAATAGTACTGTGCCACAATGAAAATGAGTGGTCCACAAATACACGAACAGTAGGAATGAATCTTCTAACCATAATGTTGAGAGGGAAGAAACCAGACACAAAACAATACACACTGTATGAGACATAAACAGGTAAAATGAATCCATGCTGTTGAAAGGGGGCGTGGGAAGGGCGTGGAGGGACCAGAAGGGAAGACAGCTAGTGCTTCTACAGTATTCATTCAGTCAGGGTGGTGTTTCCATGGGTGTGTTCAGTTTGTGAAAACTGACACATATACACACATGTACTTCTAGGTGTACGTTTCAGTTACCTTAAGAAATTTGGAAAACCTCTCAAAGTTTTCTCACCTATAAAATGAAAACAGTAAATGTGCCTCATAAGATTTGCTGGGAGGACTGAATGAAATGGCGTATAAGACTTTCTAGCCAATGCCTGGCACTGAGTTAGCACCCAATAAATTGTTACTGCGTCACACAGAGCTACCAATTAAAATTCTCTTCCATTCTGGGGTTTCTGCATCAACGCTGCCAAAGATACTATACCCAGTCATTTCTTCCTCAAACCTTTAATTCATCACAGGAAGGAAGCACAGGGATCCTAAACAAAAAGCTGTAATCAAACAACTGTTTATGAAAGGAAAACGCCACAGAAAGCACCAAGCGCAGAAGTAAACGTAACAAAGGCGGCAGCCAAACAGAAGAGAACACACAGTAAGAGACACAGTGGGGAAAGGAGTAGACATTATGAGAAAACATAAAGAAACAGAAATTCAAGAGTAACCAAAATACGAAAGTTGCCATCATGCTCAGTACAAAAAGCTTTCAACTGTAAAACGTTCAGCCAATCCTCTGAAATCTATTTACTGAACTTCTCCTATGGACCCAATACTATGCCAGGAACAGAAGATGCAGAAATGAGTCAAAGACCGCCTGCCCTAGAAAGGCTTGGCCAACACAGGCAGGGAGAACAAGTCGGCAGCGTGACAGCTGTTACAACACACGTGTGTACCAGGTGCGTGGAGACCAACAGAGCACCACCTCCCGGGAGGAAGGCAGGAGGAAGCCAGCCAGGAGTGACCTAACAAATGGGATCTTGGACTGGGTTTATCTTCTCTTCCCTGGCATAACCCTGAAGAGCTTCCCTCCATGGGAAAAGAGGGGGTACGGAGAAGAAGGCAATTTCAGGCAAAGACAGAGAGGTAAACAAGAACAAAACATTTGAGGATCAGCAAAATGCTGAGCCTCCAGATTTGCACACAAAAGTGAATGTAAGAGACGACGAGGAAAAGGAAGATCAAAGAGACCCTAAATATAACTCCATAATGTTGGATTTATTCTAGGTTCCAACCAGGTTTATAAAGCCCTAGAAGTGCTAGAAGGTGTTCCAGAAATTCATGCCGCCTTCTATTAATAAACAAGCAAGCAAGCAAGTAAATATTTTTCTTTTTTAAAAAAGACAAATTGAGAGCCTCTATCTGAATATCAAGGGAGAGGTCCAACTTAGAAGGACAAAATGATTGTATGCAAGACTTAACTCACTCAGCCAATCAACCATAGAGCACTCAAGATGGTTTTACTGTTTTTTTTTAAATTTTTTTAAAATTTATTTATTAGAGAGAGAGAGAATGAGAGATAGCACGAGAGGGAAGAGGGTCAGAGGGAGAAGCAGACTCCCTGCTGAGCAGGGAGCCCGATGTGGGACTCGATCCCGGGACTCCAAGATCATGACCTGAGCCGAAGGCAGTCGCTTAACCAACTGAGCCACCCAGGCACCCGGTTTTACTGTTTTGGAGTTTAACACTGTTTTTATTCTTAGTCAGATCCTGTTGAATATATACCAATGTGGGACCACTGGTTAAAATCAGAAGTATAAAAAAACATGGAATTTGAAAAATACCTAAATGAACAGAAAAAAATATTTTGATAAATTCTCCTTAAAATAATCTTCACCACATCCTTAATATACATTCATTTATGAAAAATTCTTTTATAAGAAATTCAAGGTATTGTCAGAACTTCAAAAATCAAAGACAATGCTATCAAATTTGCTTTCTCATTTATTGGCAAGTCACACCCACAATGTGCTATGTGTAGAGAAGTACTGCAAAAAACCACCTGAAAATTTCTTACAGTATTTAAAAGCTAATGAAAAAAACTACTGTAAACAACCAATTTGGTATTTTAAAATACAAAATTAAAGAATTCCAAAACTAGTTGTGTCTGTTTTGATGCCATTAGATGTGAATAAAGTTAAACTGTTTTAAAAAATAGATTTGAAATAAAAACTCAACGTGTCATTTTAAGTTTGTCCATCAATCACATTCTTTTTCTAAAATAATTAGCAGAAATTTTTTTTTAAAAGATTCTAGGAGGTTACTGAAGGATTTCAAGAGAGAATAATATAATGAGATATGAAGTTGTGACAATCGCTCTGCTAGTTACAAACAGACTGGTGGGAAACAAATGGAGGTAAGGAGAGAAGGTAGTATAAATGCTCCCAGGAAGGGAATGTCAAGGGCCCAAATCTGGCGGGAGTGACAGTACGTATGAGACTGGAAAACAGCAACAAAGTGTCAGGAATAGTTTGCCCCCAACATCAACTTGTCTTCGTTCTTCCTCCTTTTTATAGCTTCTGCTTTCCTTAGCTTCTAAACTCCAAAAGTTCCATGATTTTTCCCCAAAATGGTCTCTGTGAGGGCAGTCTTAAGCATGAGCTCACACAGCAAAGGTTGAACAGGAAGTGCTATTTACAGGTTGTTTATTGTGAGGAAATACCCACATTTTCTGTCTGTCTGTCTGTATGTGGGTCTGTCTTACGCCTCTACCAGAATGTGAGTTACCTGAGAATATCATCCATATCCAAAAATAACACCCAATGTAGAATGAGTAACCAATAAATATTTAGTGAATGAATGACACCAAACAATGAATGAGCACAGCCGTGGCTGTTGCCCCTTCACTGCAACCGAGATACATGACCACTACCCTACCCTCTGAAGACTTCCTCCTCTCCATTACCCTATCACACAGAGCTTTTTTAAAGCTCGGTTTCAAGCTATACTAGTACTTAACAGTGTTCACAGGAAGGAATTACTTCTAATTTGGATAATGAGAGAAGGTGGCACAGAAGAGAGAATTGAGAGAAGTCACAGTACAGGCAGAAAAACAAACAGTGTGAACAAAAGAGCTAAGACGGAACGTGACGAGAGGCATCACGGTACTGAGTGCAATGTGGGAACGCATGAGAAGAGGCTGGGAAGTCATGTATGGCTAGGTAAGTGAAGATCTTCAATACCGGGGCGCCCGGGTGCCTCAGTCGTTAAGCGTCTGCCTTCGGCTCAGGTCATGACCCCAGGATCCTGGGATCGAGCCCCGCATCGGGCTCCCTGCTCCGCAGGAAGCCTGCTTCTCCCTCTCCCACTCCCCCCTGCTTGTGTTCCCTCTCTCGCTGTGTCTCTCTCTGTCAAATAAATAAATAAAATCTTTAAAAAAAAAAAAAAAAAAGATCTTCAATACCAAGCTAAGTAAATGGAGATTTATTCCATAGGGCATAAAATCCCCTTTAAGGTTATTTTAAACTGGGAAGATTCAGAGATATACTTTAAAAGTATTATCTGGCAGGAGTACACAGGATGGGTAGAAGATACAGTGTCTATACATTTTGAGCGTATCCCTTATTTATCTTCTTTTTAGAATTCAGAACTGTTAATACTTTAGTATCTCCTCCAGCAGTCTACCAAAATGTCAATTCATTTATGACATAAATAATATACTAATTTTAAAATAATTCACCTAAGATTGCTTGTAAACTTTTAACTAAAAAACACATTTAGGCTCTTTAAAGCATTATAAAACAGTTTTTAGCATCTTTAAAAAAAATCTGGAAATAAATTCAGATTTGGAAAGCCATCACCGAAACTGTGATCCACTCAAGAGCTCTATCTGGGATGTTTTTTTTTCCCCAAGGTCATTCCAGGCTCAGTCAACTCAGAGAGTGGCTCCAGCTGTCTCATGATAGCTGTAAACAACCCTGCCAACTGACACAAATAGCACAGAACTCTAAAGGCCTCAGCATCGCAAATCATCTGCTCTCATGACCCCTAGCGGGCATTTAAAAAATAGAAAGCACTTAAATTTTAGATTCACCAAACTTTTTAAAAAAATACAGAAGACAAATTTTATGACTAGTAAACACACATGTCTTTGACAATACATGGTAGTTATATTCATTTAAAATGTCAGAAAGAGAAAATAGACTGCTTCTAGTCTTACCTGCTAGAGTTTTTAGGTAGTCAAGTGTTGGAAGAATAGGGGGTGATCTCCTCTGGAGAAAAAAGATTACCATCATTGTAAGAGAGAAATTTGTAATCCAAGAGCCAGGAATACTACTCGTTAATGAATGTGCTCGAGCCCAGCATCGAATACTGAACACCAAGGCTCTCACTCTTGAGTCCAGAGTACCATATATATAAAGGAGTTCAGAACTTTTCAAGGCAATCCTTCAAAAGAAAAAGAAAAAAAAAAAAAAAGAATTTTCAAACCCCCAAATTATGGCTCCAGACTAGAGTAAAACACATACCTGGGAACATACATAAATATCTTACTATATCTAAGCATATTCAGAACACCATGATCAGATAATCAAAAGCATTATGTATTTGCAATATAAAATTTAATGTGAATGGTTGAATATCAAACACATTCATTAACATTAAAACATTCTTTTAAATGTTGACAGTCATTATGTAGTTGTAAAACTTAGATTTTTTTAAATCAAAGTTCCTAAACATGACTTAACTATTAAGGGAAACACAATATATATGTGCTCTTCAGTAACTATCAATAAAGACACTGACACATTTGTAAATGAGAGGCTCTACACCTCACTTCTGCACTTTAGTTATCTAGTCCTTTGGCAAGCAAGGAAAATATTCTACTTATTTTATCAAGAGAGTATCTATCTATACCTTAAAATTCACCCAAAATTACATAAGTCTAACATATAATTTATAAAAACCCAAACCATGAAGATAAAATACCTTTTAAAGATATCAAACTTCAGAACCTATTTTCAGTAAGTTTCCTAGTCATAATCTTATAATGCAAAAAATTATTAATCAGAAATATTTTAAAATTAAGCTCCTACTGATCAAAACATGTCTTGTAATTTCCCAAAGAACTGACAGAGGGCACAAAACCATTAACAGTATCAACTTCAAACTATAAAGTTTCATCATGGCATTTACTTCCTGAGTTTAAAGAGAACAGAAGAAATGGCAAATTAGAAATTCAAGGTGATTAAATGTTTTATATAAATGAATCTAAATAAGCTGAAAATAAATATCAAATAGTGCAAGATATTTTATATAAAGAAACAATGCATGAGTATAAAAACCTGAAGGACAGTAAGACAAATTTTTAAAAACCTATCCCAACAAGACAATAAACGTAATACTACTAAAAGGTGTCATTTTGTTCTATTTTACATACTATAAGAAAAATGTAGTAACGACAGGAAGTGTATTAGGTATTTTTATTTATTTTTACTCTCTGAACTACTTGAGAGAAATCCCAAAGCACTCAGCACTGACTTGTTAGTGAACACGAATTGAAGCAAAACTGCTCTGGAATGTATTTTCTAAATCCGTTTTGAGTAATGATTATTAATCTAACAGATAATATAGTGAAATCTAATGCATGCAATGAGAATACTAGAGTTATGAAATAAACTCAGTTGAGAAGTTTCCCCGCCTGAGAACAAAAGAAATGGAATCAAAGTATAAAAGAACCTGTCATTCACACCCTATTTTTTTTTTTTAAGGAAGCAGGTTGCTAGGATAATAAAATGAAAATATGCTAAAGGAAAAAACTATGCAGTCTGAAGCTGCGTACACCATTTTCTGACCTAAGCAAACACCATACAGGTTTAGGACCCAAAGTTGACGCTATCTGGAGACGACTGAGAGGTCAAACTCAAGGTGCTACTTTATTTTCTAAATATACTTGGAAGACTACATACAGAAGTTCTACTACAGTGCTTTCATGTTGTTACCAGGCTACATAAGTTAAGAATGATGAAACAGTTCTCCACAGAAGATGATGTTATTTAGGTGTGATAACACTTTAAACACAATATCCTAACATTTTATTCATGAAGACCAAAAAAACAAAAGATAAGTATGAGAAAATATTTCCAATTTTTAAATCTAAGTGTTCAAAATTTTTAAAAGTTATTATTATTAAAGCATGTATAAGAGTCCAAAGCCACTGTTTCTGTACAAGAAAAACTATGTTAATACCTTATAATATTCACATTTAAGATGATAAAATTAAGAGATCATACCTATTATTAGTAGTCAAATCACACTGAAATCCAGAGGCCTGGTGTGAGAACCTCACAAGAGGACACCGAGCATTTAAGATTTTTTGTACACCCACACAACCAGGGCCAAAGTGGTCAAGGCATTCTCCTATCACAGACAGGATCTTCTGAGTTGCAATTCTTTCTGAAGGAACATTTTTCACTTGAAATTCCATCAGAAAATTTCCTGAGGTCTGAATAATAAAAACATTTGTAAATGGGAGCTTTTTATAAGAAGGAATTTCTTAAACTTTCTAGAAGGACGCTCTAAGTCATTTTTGACACAACAAAAACCAAAAAACAAGGAACACACACTCAAAAAGTTCTTCATGAAATCACAGCCAACAGCAGACTTAAAAAATCTCCAGTTGTCTTCTGTTTCTCCAAAGTACTAACCTAAAAAATCCCTGGTTTTTTATAATTTATATGCCACTATGTATTATGTATCACAAATATTACATGTAGAACCACTGACTCCATAAATTCAGTGACCATACATCTGCCTTTTCCTAGTTAGCCATTACATTTTAATAGATGTTATAAGCCCACAGTAGTTAGAATAGAGAAGTACATGTACAAATCAAATCAAACAGCAAGTCAAAAGAAGAAAAGAGTATAATCAGACTTTATATACAGGAATTTAACACAATGGACTCCAAAAATCACCAGGGTAAAATTACTATGTAACAAATGAGTCAAGTGGCCATTGAAAAAAATAAACTAGATCCTGATTTTAACTCTGAAACCAAAGTAAATTCAACATAAATCAAAGATTTACACAAAGAAAGTTTTATCAGTAAAGTACTAAAGACAATGAATGTTTTTACAAATAGTGAAGGATTTTCTAAGCATTACACAAAATTCCAGAAGATACAAAAGAAGAAATACGATTGAAACCATCTCAAGGTAAAGCATATATTCACTACTAGATAAAAGACAAAAGTAAAACAATAATACATATGTCACATAAATGACTAATTTCCCAAGTTTATGAAGCGTTTATATAAATGAAAGGGAGAAAAACTCACCCAATTCTAAAAACAGGCAAAAAAAACTTGAATAAGAAATAACGAAAGAAATAAAAATGGCTAAGAAAGACAATAAAAGATACTCTTGTTTTCTAGAAACTAAAGAAGAAATTAAAACAACATTGGGACTTTTCATTTATCAGTCTGCCAAAGACAAAAAGGCTGCCAGGATCACTATCGGTGGGTGCAGGGAAACATGTATATACTGTCGGTGGGAGTGTAAACTAGGACATATTTGGTAGACAACTTCAGTATCTACTGAAACTTTAATTGTATACTTGGACAAGCTACTAAAATTCTAGAAAATTATCCTAAAAAAAAAACACTTGCATTGATGAGCCAATTTACAAAGCTGTTCACTCACTGTAGCATTATTTGTGCGGTATACACCCTTTGGGAATTCTAGTTAGCTTAATAAGGCTACCTACCCTCGACCACAGCATTTTCCAGAACCCATTCCTAGGCCCTAACAATGTTTATCCTAGAAATCCACCCCCTTACTCCCAGCTGAGTTGGACCAGGCATGGCAGCTGACGTAAGCACTAGAGGACTATACCATATAGTCATCCAGAGATCTCTCCTGGGAATTGGAACTGAGGTTCAGAGTCAACCATGCGGCTGAAATATGTATCTCAGAAGCTTTGGAGCAGGCACATTCTACATCACAAGGACAAAAATGTAAAGAAAATCAGTGGGGGTGCAGAGAGTGGAATGAGGGGGAGAAAGAAAAATAAAGCAACTAAAGTGGAAAGAAACCGAATACTTCATGGGCTCTTGATAATTTACACTTCAAACTTCTAGTTCTTTCCTAAGACTCATCCACATTCCTGGCCCTGGGTTCAATGAAGCTAGTTTAAGTTGGTTTCTGTGAACAACCAAAGAGTATTAACTAATACAGTTGACAATAAAGAAGGGGGGAAAATACACCACCCTGTCTAACAAATAAAGGACTGGTTAAGTAAATTACGGTACATTCATTTGGTGCTCTGCAGCCACCGAAAAGGATGCAATAGACTGAATTGCCATGACACTATTAACTGGAGGGGAAAAAAAAAAAAAGATCAAATTATAATCTGTAAAGATTAAGGAGTTTTTGTTATAAAAAAGAATTTCTGCATGTAAGGAAAAAGTCCAGAACAAAATACATTAAACAATTCACAGTAGTTACCTCTGGAGGTGGTGGGACCATCAAAGATATTTACATTACACATTTTTCTAACTATTACTATATAATCATAAAAGAAAACTTTATATAGATATGACATGTATACAATCTCCACAAATAAATATGTTGTGTTTTCTCTACTTATTCTGTAATCCAGACAGACTTTTGTATTTAAAAGATTTCCTTTAAAAACATTAAAACTTCAAAAATCTAGCTTAGCCTCTTTGTTAAAACACCTTTATAACTTCTGGTTCCCTAGTCTATTTGATTTTAAAATTCAAGTACATACCAATTTACATGGGAAGCAGGAACCCAAACAAGAGTAACCAACAAAGAGAGCACAGAGCTCATCAAAGAAAGAGAACCATCTCTGTCAGAATTAAGCAGTACCAGGAGAAAGAGACAGATCTGGGGTCAAATAATCTCAGGATGGCAAAAGAAGAGCAACTGGGAGAGTGGTATCAGACCAGACAGTAGAGGAGTCATGTTGAACTCAGATGCATGGGAAAGGTTAGGAATACGCAGAAGAACAGGGATAATGAGATTTTTTAGTTAAATACTATAAATGAGAGAAAAATAAAATCACTGAAGTAACGAGTGAAAATGACACCAGGGAAAAATAGATCTGAGTAAAGGAATCAGGGCCAAGAAATTGGAGAAACTGTGAACTATAAGCGGGAATGTGCCAGTTATTGAAGCTATTCACCAAATATTCTGCACATCACCTTTCTGATATTTAGTAGGATTATCAGGTTCCTGTCCGAGTTAAGCGCAGTCACGTGATGACCTGCTTTCACCAATGAAATATGAACAGAGGCTTTATTACAAGCCACTTCCAGGCAGAGCTTTAAGAACCAGCAGTCAGTTCTCCACTGTGCCTTTCCACTGCCTTCAGTGGTAGAAGCACAGGCGTGGGTGGTGAAAGTTCGTCAGCCTGGGAGCTTGAGTGCCCCCTGCCGACCTGCTTTGGCCACACAGCCACTGGCAAGAGAGAAAGGGTGATGTGCTAAATCACTGAGATTTGGGAGCTGTTTATCACCAAGGCATAACCTGGCCTAATCCGGTCAATGTAAGAAGCAAGAGATCCAGAACCACACGAGGTAATTCTACTTACATAAATGCACTCTGCAAGGAAATAAAACACTACAATTACAGAAGACGCAGATTATGAAAACCATACCTATTGTGAGCAAAATGAAGATCCTCCCCAAAATTACACTTCTCTAACAAATAAAACTTAGAGAAAATCTTCAGACACCTAATCAATAAACATTTACTAATTTTGCTGTACCTCTGGCACTATGTTTCAGATAAATTTTTAAAACATTACTACATGTTCTTCCTAATTGCTCAGGTATTATGCCAATATCTAATAAAAATAAAACACAGGGTAAGCATCTTGTCCACAGCAATGATTTAGACAACAGAACAGGACCTAGCCACCAATTTTTATTTCTGTTACCTAAATCCTGTCAGATTTAAACCCTTTAGAAAAAGAAAAACTAAAGGAAAGAGTAAAGGCAGATTTTAGCTTAAAATTTTGTACTAAAATGATCTTTGTGATGTTAGGTGGCACATTTCACTTGAAAACATCTTTCACACATTAAGAAACTTACACAAGTTTACAAGTGTAGTTGGCAAATAACTTTGACTTATTCATTAGCAAAACATCTGTTTACTGCCTGTGGTGCAAGGATATTCCACATAGTGCCAAAAGACATACAAGAGTCTAACACCCTCTTCCTAACTCCCCTCAATTCGGGTCGAATAAAACAAACACCCGGAACTATAGAGCAAGGTGGTGTGCCAAAGGAGACACACACCAAGAGGAAAGAGGAAGGAGAGTTCACAACTGCACAAAACAAACAGGCTCTTTTATGAAGCTGATGAATTTAAAAGTGCTTCTGGGGGCAGCTTTTCCTTCTCCCTCCACTCTCCCTCCCACTCCTGTGAGCACACGCTCTCTCTAATAAAATCTTTAAACAAAAATGCTTCTGTTTTTCATTATAATTCATTTTTAATGTTTCTATTAGCAAAGCTATTATAATCTTAAACAAGCACATATTTCAAAGTATACCTTTTTTACACACTCATTAGTTAAACCTACATACCAAATAATGTCAAATTATTTAGTGAGACTGGAGTACTGTCTTTTATTTATTTATTTTAAAAGATTTTATTCATGTGAGAGAGAGAGAGAGAGAGAGAGAGAGAGAGAGAATGAGTTGGGGGGAGGGGCAGAGGGAGAAGCAGACTCCCTGCTAAGCAGAGAGCCCAATGCAGGGCTTGATCCCAGGACCCTGAGATTAAGACCTGAGCCAAAGTCAGATGCTTAACTGACTGAACTACCCAGGAACCTCTGGAGTACTGTCTTTTAAAATATCTTTTCAGAACGCCTCTATATTTCAGAAATCTAAGAGCCAACTAAAAGTTTCCAACTCCTCTACTTTCAAAGAAAAAAACTGTGCTTCCTATTTGCATATTAATTAACTAGTAATACTGTTGCTGGTAGTGATCTATTGACATTTGACACTTAACATGCCAAGCACCAGCCTAAGTGTCATGTGTATTAGCTCAGTGGGCCCCTCCAGTGCTCCATGAGACAGGTGTGATAGCACTATCCCAATCTCACAGCTAGAAAAATGTCAGCACAGAGAAGACAAATAAATTACCAAGGATCACACAACTGGAAAGTAAAAGAATTACTCTTCTGCAATTTGGCTCTAGAGCACAAGCTTTAACCATTACAATACATTATTATGCACCTTGATTGTTTTCCAAAGTCTTTTCACCTACCTTAAGAATAACTCAGCACAATTTAAGTGTCCCTGCCAGGAATTTAATACATGCTAGTCTTACTAGAGGAATGATCCATTTCATTTTGATGTATTTTGCATTCCTTAGCCAGTTTTAATTCAGTAAGTATATACTGAGCACATTAAGTTATGCCAGGCACTATGTGGGATAAGACAATGAACAGACATGGCTGCTGCCCTGCCCTAGCTTATAATATAGTGGGAGGAATATATCAGCCACTAACTAAACATAACACAGAAGGGCTGTGGAGAGAGAGAGAAACATGAGCAAGATACTGTGAGAGTTTACAAGGAACTGTGTGACTATAGCTTTGAGGATATACGTAAAGGGAGAGAAAAAAAATAACTTAAAACAGAATTAAGATAGCAAATGTCAGGAAAACTAAAATGCCACTAATTAATATATGAAACATATACAAGAACTTTTATAAAAACTTACAAAGAATATTTGCAAAGAATGAAAAAAGTTTTGTTTTCAAAATGGCAGGCTGAAGGGCCACCTGGACATCCACGTAGACAGGACATCCACATAGACAGGATTACTAGTTTGAAATACATAAGATAGAGTCATAAAAATCTACATTTTATAAACACACAGAAGCCTTTTCAAAGTTTTAATTAAATTAAAGCATCCTTTATGTTGTTTGGGAGGATGGCAGAGATACTGGTTAACTTTACCTGTTAGACGTGCATATTCATAAGTACTAAATGGAATATATAATTTCCAAACTCTAAGAGGAAAAAGTGGAATGAGGCAGGAATAAAGCGGTAATCCACAGGAATAAAAGGTACAGCACAGAGAATATAGTCAGTGGTACTGTAACAACATTGTATAGTGCCAGACGCTACAAGACAAACACTTGTGGTGAGGACAGCATAACATACAAACTTTTCAAATACCGCACACCTGAAACTAATGTAACAATATGTCAACTAGACTTCAGTTTTGCTTTTTTTTTTTAAAGCAGTAATCCAATAAGAGTAAGGGAAAGGAAATGAAAAGCAAAGAAAAAGTACAGAAAAAAACATAAATAAAAAATAAGAGTAGAAATGAATCCAAAAATCATCAGTAATAATGAACAAATACATTGACTTCAAAGACTCAAAGCTCAGAATTAAAGCACAAAATTCAGTGATCTGCTGTTCATCAGAGAGACACCCAAAGTATAACAGCATAGTTAAGGTCAAAATGAAGATACAGAAGAAGATATGTGAATCAAATAACCAGTGGTTATCTTAACAGGCAAAAAAGAATTTAAGGAAAAAGCATATGTAGAGATAAAGGACATAATTTAATGATAAATGAACAGTAAGAAGACATAATAATCATATACCTATATACCCACATGTAGCTAACATAGCCTTTGACTAAAACAAAGATAAAAATAATTCCTAGGAAAACTTAGCAAAACCAAAAATCGTGAGATTTCAAAATATTTCAATGACTAGATCACACAGATAAAACAAATTAGTTAAGATACAGATAATTTGAATAACACAATAAATAACCTTGGCCTAAGGGAAAAACTTCAGAACTCTTGGAAAAAAATATTCATTTTACTGCATATGTGTAGAATATTTACAAGAAATGATCATATATTTTATCAATACAAAGAAAGACTTTATAATTCCGAAGAATCAATATCAAATAGATCATATTCTTTAGCCACAATGTTTATTAAAGTTTAGAAACCAACAGTTACAATTTTATTAAGTCCAAATATTACTTTTAAAACCTCTTAACTTTAGTGATCTAAAGAAATAGAATTACCTTGTTGGTGCTGAGTTTTCCAATTTCATCTAGATCCAAAAACATGTCCAAATCACATCCTAATTTCCCAAAACTGTTCACTGAGGAGCCAAAGGGTCTCACTGTACAGTCCTGAAAATACGCAGCTGCTAGGTCTTCAATAAGAGAACAGGTGAGATATCGGAGCTTAATGTCCTCCTCCGTTAACTGGAACTCCTTCAGGAGAGTGTTCAGCTGATCATCCATCTAGCTGGCCAGAACAAAACCAACAAAATACAGAAAATGTACAGGTCATATAAAGTCGCTGTCATTTTACTTCGAGAGATCTGATGGCTTTGGAGACCTACCATAAATACATATCCCTTTTCCTTCAAACATAAAAGTTGATTAAGTTTTTTTTTTAAAAGATTTTTTTAGGGGCGCCTGGGTGGCTCAGTCGGTTAAGCGGCTGCCTTCGGCTCAGGTCATGATCCCAAGGTCCTGGGATCGAGCCCCACATCGGGCTCCCTGCTCAGCGGGGAGCCTGCTTCTCCCTCACCCTCTGCCTGCCTCTCTGCCTACTTGTACTCTCTCTCTATCTCTCTGTCAAATAAATAAATAAAATCTTAAAAAAAAAAAAGATTTTTTTAAATATCCCTTTTAAAAGAACTGAGGGGGCGCCTGGGTGGCTCAGTTGGTTAAGCGACTGCCTTCGGCTCAGGTCATGATCCTGGAGTCCCTGGATCGAGTCCCCACATCGGGCTCCCTGCTTGGCAGGGAGTCTGCTGCTCCCTCTGACCCTCCCCCCTCTCATGTGCTCTCGCTCTCATTCTCTCTCTCAAATAAATAAAAAAAAAAAAAAAAAAAAAAAGAACTGAGGAATGATAACATCGGCAAAATCAAAGTTGGCCAGAACTAAAATCACTACTTTACAATTAAAGTATTGTTTTAGGAAAATGAAAATAGTAAAATAAAATGCTCCAGAAAGAGATCAAAACAACCACAAAGCTAGACATTTTTTTTTATTACATTTTAAATGAAGTTGGGGGGAAGGAAGAAGCAATGTTAAAGGCAAGAAACACTAGAAATAAGCAATGCTTTAGGTAATGAAGGCCCAAGATCCCTCCACTCCTCAGAATAATAATCCTGTATCTTCACCAGAAAACTGGTGTTAAAGGCATCACATGTTGAAACTGTGCGAGTATTTAAAATAAAAATCATAGCCTCAAATGCCCTTATTTGGAAATAATATTGAAATTAACTGAACTACATTCAACTCAAGAAAAGTAAAAGAAGGAAATGTAGAAGGTTAGAAAATCAAACCAAAAAATACCATTTTGATAAAAATCATGAACTGATTCTTTGAAAGGACTACTAAACTAGCTAAACCTTTGACAAGCCTTTGTAAGAAAAACTAAAACTAATATAAACAATGTTAGGGCAGCAAAACAGATTAAATCAGAAATGAGATGATTTTTTTTTTTGAGATATTTTTAAATTTACAGAAAAATGCCAGGTACAACTATATGTCATTATGTTGACTGGAGAAAGAAAACCTGAACAGTCCAAAGGCTGAAAACTCTGGAAGAAGGTGGTTACTTGGGAGGAGTATAAGGTGGGTGGGGGGGTGGGCATCGGGGAAGGATTACTCTCACTTTTCACTCAACATATTCTGTAGTCTATTTTATGATAAGAACCTACAATACACAAACTAATATCATATATACACACATATTTTTAGAAATTGGGGAAGTATACCTAAAAACTTACACTTTCTGCATAACAAAGTAATTCAGAAAGCTTCTTGTTTGAAGGAGGGGAATGATTACTGCTTTGTATACAGGACTGTTCTGAAGTCTGGCTTGATGGATTCTTCATCTTTAAATTGAAGAAACGTGACTTGAATGGAATTGCAGCCTCTGTCTCCATACTCGGAGTTCGAGTTACATTCTGTAGTGAAGTGACACTTTCCTTTTGAGAAAACTCTACAACAGCATAAAGACCCTATGCCAAAATCATAAGGAAAAACAGAAGGCATCTCAGAAGGATATATTTTACATATTTACATAGTGTTTCAGTTCAAATTTCCAAATGATTACCATAATACTAAAAAAGATTCATTACAAATGATACACTTCTAACACAAGCACTGGTTTTAATCATTATAAGCAGACTAAGAAAAGGAACACCATAAAATGATACTAGTCAACAGAAGCTGGAAACAGGGGCGCCTGGGTGGCTCAGTTGGTTGAGCGACTGCCTTCGGCTCAGGTCGTGGTCCTGGAGTCCCGGGATCGAGTCCCGCATCGGGCTCCCTGCTCAGCGGGGAGTCTGCTTCTCCCTCTGACCCTCCCTCCTCTCATGCTCTCTCTCTCTCTCTCTCATTCTCTCTCTCAAATAAATAAATAAAATCTTTAAAAAAAAAAAAAAGAAGCTGGAAACAATGATGAAACAGAAAATCATAAGGCAAAACAAAAATCCCCTCCCCCTGGCCTTTATCCCTAGGATAACAGACTACTTAAAGTATTCAAATAATGGAATCAGTCAGTTATAAGTTACATATAATTCTGTAGTAATGCCATAATGATGTCTATTCTCATACAAAAAAAAGATTAAAGAAATTTAAAGAAAGATGTAAGATATCAAAAGAGAATCTAACTTTACCATATTGCAAATAACAAATGGGACCTTTATCTTTCAAAAGCATGAATGTCAGACTGTTTTCAAATACTTACAAAACTCTCATAGAAGAAATGACTATTAATAGGTCCATGTTGGGATAAATATTTCAGAAACTTTTTTTCACTGATTTTATTTGGGCAACGTATTAGAACAGTTCGCTGTGCCTGTTCCCGTCTTTCTTTCTGCACCTCAGAGAATTTCTTTTTGGGAGTCCGGCCTTCAGAGCCTATGAATGAGACAAAAACGTTTGCAGCGCACGCACGCACACGCACAAGCGCACACACACACACACACACACACACACACACAGAGATATAAAATTTAAAGCATATTTCAATAAGGTATATAAAGATTTTATAGTTGACTAAATGAATCCAAATCTCATCTTCTTTCTTCTTTCCCTATGTAAGAATGAAGCTATACTACTTTTGATTTTCACTTTACCATTCTCCTGTAATTATCATTAATACTGTCCACTTTCCCAGTTTTGATTTACTGTATTCAATGCATAGCACTGAAAAGAGAGAGATCCACAAAATTATAAAAGCAAAATCAGGAATGTAAAATCACTCGTGTAACACCTCCCCAAATAAATACACACACACAAAATCTGTATAAGCTGTAACATTCCAAAGCCTAAAAGAAATTATTATAAGCCTGAGTGTAATGAGTTTAGAACTTTAATGTATTAAAGTAAGTTATTACAGTTTTTCTTTGTCGTGGGCCTTGATCTGGCTGAAACAATTAACAGTGAGTTATCAACTACCGTGCTGTGTATCACAGGGAAATCAAAGAATTTAAAATCGAGTTGCTGCCCATAAAAGTTCATGATAATTTTACTAATGAAATACATGATTATTTCTTTTTTCATAAAAAACCACTCCAGGGGGCGCCTGGGTGGCTCAGTCGGTTAAGCAACTGCCTTCGGCTCAGGTCATGATCCCAGGGTCCTGGGATCGAGTTCCGCATCAGGCTGTCTGCTCAGCAGGGACTGCTTCTCCCTCTCACTCTCCCTCTGTGCTCACCCTCCCTTATCTATCTCTGTCTCTCAAATAAATAAAATTTTTGGGAAAAAAAAACAACAATAAACGCTCCAGGGGGTTTTAAAAGCACAGGAAATGAAGAGCTGTGAAAGTCAAGAATTAGATATTAATAAATCAAATGACCACAAAGGAAAGATCAACAACTAAGTATAAAGCCAAACAATGAGTTTTAGCAACTCATTTTTCCTCCAATATATTTTAACTTCTAGTTGGGTGGCTTAAAAGTGTTTCCAGAACTCTGGAATGGTAGATTCTAGAGATTATAAACCATCAAGTCTGATATCAATACTCTAAAGAAATTCCAAAGAGAATAAATAGTACAGAAAATAGAATCAGCATGTGGAAATTGGCAGATGCTTTTAGACTCCTCTTTTTTCAAAAGGTTATAAAACTAATGGATCAAGGAATACTACAAACTACAAAACTACAAACACACTTAATTTATCTTAATTTCAGCAAACTCCAATACATCTTCACAGACCAGACAGACAAATGTGCGTTAATGCCAGTAAGGGCTTGCTAAACCCTAAACTGTGTTCATCAGTACAGACCTAGAGGCAGTCTCTAATGGCACACCACAGAACTCTTGGCCCTGACACAGTCCACATTTCCAACAACTGATCAAACAGGTACTGAGTACCTTTCCTACATTTACTGTACTAAGTGCTAAAAACACATCTCTTAAATAGGGGTCCACATCTCCATTCTGAATGCCAGCTCTTTAACATCAATCTCTTATTTCAAGGCCTGATTCCTAAACGGGTCTCATTCACACTAGTCTTTTCCTTCTCAAGCAATTCTTTGCTGCCAAAGTGATCTTTATAAATTAATCTTTTTAAAAAGTCTTATTTTTTGACCTCCTTGCTTCAAACCCTTCAGTACCTTCCCTACTGCATTCAAGATCAAAACCTGACAGCGTGGGTATAGTTATCGGCATTTTGTCCCACTGCTCCTCTTCAATGTCAATTTCTACCATTTCCTCCTTTTGCACTGTTCACTTAAGGTACTCCATACACAATACTACCACATACTGTGAACTTTTAAAATCTTCCTGTCTCTGAATGGAATGCCCGCTTTCTTATTTTCTGCCTCGAAAACTCCCATTCACCCTCCCAGAGGTGTGTGAAGACTTTTGACTTTCCAGGACAGACTCTCCTCTACCTCTGTATTACCTTACTTCAACATCTGTGAAAGAAGGTAATTCATGGTATTGTATTTATTTAACAATATGGAAAAATATGTCTTCCATATTGAGGACAGAGACTATTATTATTCACTTTGATCTCAGTCTATTGACAGTCCTCCCAATTTGTCCCTATTTTTTTTTTTTTGATAGAGGCTCTGCCTAGACCACTTCACCCGCTTTTCTTCCCTTTGTAACTACTACCTATATATCCTTGTCTCTAGTTTTTACTGAGTCTAGACTGATGTCCAAGTGCTTACTGTAAAAGTAAAGTCAAATTGTTAAATTTTATAAAGTAAAAGTATAAATCCTTCCCTAGTTCTCTTCCCCTAATAACACCCAACATTAAGTTTGGTTATTTATGTTTCCAGACATTTTTAAGGCATATATAAACATACACATTTGTATTTCTCCACAAAGAACCATTTTTTACATAATTAAAAAGTACTGAAATCATACTATACATTCTATTTTATAATATGCTTCTAAAGACTTAATACATTGGTGATATCTGTGTTTGTATATGTTTACCTCATTATTTAAGCAACTGTGTAAGTATCCTTATTAATTCATCATAGGTTAGTCAATCCTCTACTGATAAATATTTGGGTGGTTTTCCTTTCTTCACTATTACAAAAAAACTGCAGTATCATCTGCATACAATGTCTTTGCACTTTTTGCAAGTATATCCCTGCAGTTGATCACTAGGGAGGAGAGACTGAATTTAAGATCGATAGAGAAATCTGATAAAAGATGAAGAAATGTGCTTGAGAAGATAGGAGAGGTAGAATCCAAAGTACTAATAGTTCTGGCCTTGAACAACAGTAGGTAAAAATGATGCAGACAAGACAAAGTTGTAAAGGAGGGGACAAAGAATTCAGGTAGTTTATTATCTCACAAAAGGCTTCTCAAATCTACCAATGACACAAAGTTGAGAGTAAAAAGTAGTGAGTGCTCATATTTTATGACCAACTCAATTTATGGCATTGATGACATAATCTGGTAAGCATAAACTTAACACAAAAAATAAGACTAAATACTGTCCTGCATCTAAAACTAAAAACAACATAAAGATACAATGACATAATGGGGAAGAAACTTAACCTAGGAGTAGCTGCGTATAAGAGGCCCAAAAGTTTAATTTGATCAACGCTCAGAATTAGTCAAAGAAATGTCTTAATTTCTGTGATATGGATAGGGGGAGAATAAACATATATAAAACTCCAAACTTGGGGCGCCTGGGTGGCTCAGTTGTTAAGCGTCTGCCTTCGGCTCAGGTCATGATCCCAGGGTCCTGGGATCAAGCCCCACATTGGGTTCCCTGCTCCACAGGAGGCCTGCTTCTCCCTCTCCCACTCCCTCTGCTTGTGTTCCCTCTCTCAATGTGTCTCTCTGTCAAGTAAATAAAATATTTAAAAAACAAAACAAAACAAACTCCAAACTTTATTAAAACAAATGTTTTCAAAAATCCAAATTCAAGGGATAACAGAACTTCTTTACTATTTACTGGCAAGGCCACATATGCAGTATATGTTCTACTCTGGACATAATGGATATAAAGGATTTTAAAGAACCAGAGAGGGGCTCCTGGGTGGCTCAGTAGGTTAAGTGTCTGCCTTCGGCTCAGGTCATGATCTCAGGGTCCTGGGATCGAGTCCTGTATCGGGTTCCCTGCTCAATGGGGAACCTGCTTCTTCTTCCTCTCCTCTTCCCCCTGCTTGTGCACTCTCTCTCTATCAAATAAATAAAATCTTAAAAAAAAAAAACAAACAGAGAACATCTGGAGGGGGTAGTAAAAGGTCTAGAAACTGACAGAGAATGACTGTAAATAAAGTGGGATTTATAGCCTGGAAAAAAAACTAATGAGAACTCAAATGCTGTCTTCAAATATAACAGTGAGACCTCCATTCGTGCAGCACTTCAGTTTTCCAAGCACCTTCACATATACACTCTATTTAGAATCTCACAATAATTTTTGAGATAGAGTGGGTCTATAACTGGTGGAAAAACGGCACAAAACCAAACATCTAATAAGCTAAGTAGCCACTTACAGAATTAATCTGTTGTCTGATTGCCTAACATCTGTCTCCCTTGTTCAAGTAACAACACATCCTGCTTGTAGAAAACCCCTATACGAGTTGTGGGGGGGGGCAGTCAACACAGTTATCCTACCTGTGACACTGACCCTCACCCCATTAGATAGGCTAAGATTATTAGACTATTTTGGATAGCTCCTCTGGGTCCAAAGGGTGGGGGGGGGCGGGGTGCGATCAATCAAAAGTTCTTTCTTCAAATTCAGGTAAAAGATGATCTTATTCTTCCTTTTGGCGAAGGCTACAAGCATGTAAACATGAAGCTGCTGTGGCTATGCCTCTGTGTAGAAGAATCTGAGATAAGGAGGCAACCAAACAATAATACCCCACATTGACCATACCTATCCACCTTAACGCATCTAGCTCTCTCTGAAGTTTGGTTACACGGGTTGGTATACCCTCCCCCCTCTACTTAAGCTAATTCAAGTTAGCTTCTGTCACCTGTACCCCAAGGAGTGCTGAATAATACACTGCATATTCTTACTCTTAAAATTGGGGGTCTCTTCCACTACCCAAATGAAAGCTATGTCAAGGCTAAGCTTACGTAGCTCATTACAAACATTTTCCAACCATTAGAGCCTGACCAAAAAATGGATTTGGTTGATTTATGAAATACTGTGTTCCTTGTTACTAGAAAATATTACTAGAAACGTTTTCCAACAAGTTCTCACACTAAATGGAAACCTCAACTGGAAATTTCTCAAGTTCCTTCCAATTATAAAATGTTATGCTTCTGAGTGTAAAGTGCAGTTACCTTCTTCTCTTTTAAAAAATGGAAAATAAATTCAGACAAAGATTTTGTTAGGCACCACAAAAGTCCCTGAATATTTAGCCAATTATGATACAAAATGAAGCACATTTCCTAAGAAAAACAACAAAGCCATACGAAACGAAGAGTATAGTCTTGAAATCAGGTTTTTTCCTTATCTTTGCTACTTCATAGATGGGTAAGTTTCAACTCGCCACTTGGACTAGCCTTTTTCCTCATCTATAAACTGCAGTAATAACTCCTTCCGTACCAACTTTACAGTTTTATTTCTCAAAGAGTGTAAGAAAAAACTCCCAAATCTAAACCACTGTACAGATGTCAAATTACAATAGCTTCTTTGACAGAATCCTTACTTAAATTTTCAGTTACTTGAGCATTTTTTTTTAAAGATTTTATTTATTTCTTTGACAGAGAGAGACAGTGAGAGCAGGAACACAAGCAGGGGGAGTGGGAGAGGGAGAAGCAGGCTTCCCGCTGGGCAGGGAGTCCGATGTGGGACTCGATCCCAGGACCCTGGGATCATGACCTGAGCCAAAGGCAGACGCTTAACGACTGAGCCACCCAGGCGCCCTTGAGCATTTTTAACAGAAGCAGTTTCTACCAAATACAATCCAATCAGTATGTCAGTGAAATGTCATATTAAGTGACAATTCTCACTCCGTGTCAATATGAACCTTTATTTATACAGTCTGATAAGAAGAGCAACCCTACCATTTATTTTAGGGGGAAACATTTTACTTGACTAGCTTCCTACAAAAATATTCCCAGAAATAATTTCATCTCTTAAAACTATAGCCCCAATAAATGGCAGAAATCAACATATTGCTTAATACTTTGATTCCAAGTCTAAATGAACTCAGCTATGTAACCTTGCACAAGTTACTTAGTTCTTTGAGCCTCTCTGTACACCTGTTAAGTGGAGACAGGTGATACAGTCTTTGCTAGATTGTTTTAAAATTTGTAAATAAGATACATGCAGCTTTTGGGTCACAAGAGGGGTTCAGTAATAGTGGGCTTCTCAATACACAAAGAAGCATATACATTTAGAACGTTTACGGGGCAGCAGCCTGTTCCGGTGAATGCACATCTGTTACCTGGTTACCAAAATGGCAAAAGAATAAAGCAAACGGCAGTAATGTCCACATTTGGGAGCCGCGAACACTGTTATTCATTAATGCTTCACTACTCGTCCTCCATCAACAACTTGTAAAATCAGATACGTTTGTAAATTTAGCAACTGACCGATGTGTGGCATCACTGTTTTCATTGGGAACGTTGTTCTGCCAAATTATAAAATATTAGCAAGCCGTTCTCTTAGCCTGAACTTCACAAATATTTAAATACTTTCATTACTGTACACAGGCGTCCTCAAAGAAACACCACCCACCCCACTACCACCATGAGCAAGGAGCGGCCCTGCGTTCCCCTGATGAGATTAGAGGAGGACGGGACACAGCCTCACCCTATTGCCAAAGGCTCCATGCACAAACCACGCGCTCGCCCACGATCCCAGTCTCTCTCCCCTTCCCTCGCCCGCGGTGGGTCGCCGATACAGAGCAAACCGAGAACACGGCGCCATCACCTGTCTCCACGTTCCTCGAGGACTGCTCTTCTCTCTTAACGTCTGCGGCCACAGTTCCTGGGCAACTGAAAAGCCTGTGAGTAGGACGCAGGACTTGACTTCTCTGAGCACATAGGGGTAAACGGGCCAACATCACCACGCCGCGAGCCGCCATTGTCAAACTAACAGAAGCAGGAAGGCGAAAGGGCGCGGGCTCCCGCGCATGCGCGCTGGAGCGAAAGGAATGGGAAGCCTAGAGGGTCAAACTAGGCGAAAGCTGCCGACTAAAGATGCCTTTGCTTTTGGACCTGTTTCTTTTCCGCTCTCCCACAGTTCTCTAAAAGACTCCCCCAATAGAACGAGCCCACCACCTGCTCTTTAAAATAGTCCTGAAAATAGAACCAGAGAGCAAGGTCATGAGGAAGGAGCACTGACTTGGGAATCTATACTTAGAGTATAATAAATGAGAACACTTTGTCTTTAACAGACACTGTTGTGCTCTATTTGTATTGACTCTTAATCCCTACAACAACCCTGTGAGATAGGAACCATTATTATCTCCATTTATTTATGGGGGAGATTAGGACATACGGCAGTTAAGTAACATTTCTCAAGTTACATAGCCAGTCGGGAGCAGAGATGGGAGTTAAACCTAGATTATCGGGTACAAAGTTTTTCTTTTTTTCTTGTAACAAGTTTATTGAGATTTAGTTCACATGCTACACAGCTCATCCCTTTTTGTGTACCATTCAGTGGTTGCTGGTATATTTACAAAGTTGCACAACAATCACCATAACCATTTTTAGAAGCTTTTCATCACCTCCAAAAGAAACCTCCTGCCCATTAGCTATCACTCCCCCAATCCCCTCACTCCCCCCAGCCCTAAATAACCATTTATCTCCTTTTTGTCTCCATGCTGTTGCCTATTCTAGTCATTTCGTATAAATAGAATCATGCAACATGTGGTTTTTGGGACTGGCTTCATTCACTTGATGTAATACTTTCAAGGTTCTTCCATGTTGCGGTATCTATTAGTACTTCATTCTTTTTTTTTTTTAAGATTTTATTTTATTTATTTGACAGAGAGACATAGCGAGAGAGGGAACACAAGCAGGGGGAGTGGGAGAGGGAGAAGCAGGCTTCCCGCGGAGCAGGGAGCCCGATGCGGGGCTCGATTCCAGGACCCTGGGATCATGACCTGAGCCGAAGGCAGAAGCTTAATGACTGAGCCACCCAGGTGCCCCAGTACTTCATTGTTTCCTGTGACCAAAAATAACATTCCATTACATGGTGTTAAAAGATAAATTGAGGCATATTAAAAATTTTAAGAGATTATTTGAGGAAAAAAACAATTCAAATCAGGCAACGTCCAATCCAGCAGATAGAAAGGACTCTTATAGCCTGAAGACTTGAAAGTAAAAACAAAAGACTTTTATAGGCAGACGAGAGCAGGAACAAGGAAGTTAAACTAAGCAAAAAGCCTGTTGGTTATTGCAAAGTTACTTTCCTTTAGGGGATGTCCCAGTCCTATCAGGCAAATTAATTAGCTAGTGCTGATCCGGTGATTCCTGATTGACTGGCTTAAGATTCCATTTCTGGGAGAGTTGAAACAAATTAAGTCTTGGTTTGGTTACATGGGGTTTAAACAAGTGACTGGGGCCTGTTGTCTTATTTTTAACCATGGATATGCTGCATATGGTTGTCCATTTCTGCTGTTTCTACCTTTTGGCTATTATAAATAATGCTATTATGAACATTCATGTAACAGTTTTTGTGTGAACATATGCTTTCACTTCTCTTGGGCATATACCTATGAGTGGAAGTGCTGGGCCACATGGCAACTCTATGTTTAATCTTTGGAGGAAATGTCAGCCTCTTTTCCAAAACAGCTGCACCATTTTCATTCCCACTAGTAGGGTAAGAAGTTTCCAATTTCTGCACATTCTTGCCAATATTTGTTATTTTCTGTTTTTTTTTTAAAGATTTTATTTATTTATTAGAGAGAGAATGAGAGAGAGAGAGAGACAGCATGAGAGGGGGGAGGGTCAGAGGGAGAAGCAGACCCCCCCCCCCCCCCCCAAGCAGGGAGCCCGATGTGGGACTTGATCCCGGGACTCCAGGATCATGACCTGAGCCGAAGGCAGTCGCTTAACCAACTGAGCCACCCAGGTGCTCCTTCTGTGTTTTTTTTTAATATATGTGCTGCCAAAGCGAGCACCTGTGTTTTTTTTTAATAGCCACACTAATGGGTATGAGTAGTATCTCACTTTTGATTTGTATTTGATGAATGATGAGCTCTTTTCATGTGATTATTGGTTATTTGTGTATTTGAAGAAATATCTATTCGGATCTTTTGCCCATTTTTAATTGGATTTTTACTACTGTTTTAAGAGTTCTTTATATATTCTGGATATAAGTCCTTATCAGATATACTATTTGCAAACAGTTGATCCTATATTGTGGGTTGAACTTCACTTTTTTGATGGTGTCCTTTGAAACATACAAGTTAATTTTGATGAAATCTAATTTCTTTATTTTTTTTTCTTTTGTTGCTTGTGTTTTAGTGTCATATCTAAGAAACATTGCCTAACCTGAGGTTGTGAAGATTTACCCCTATGTTTGCTTCTAAGATGTTAATATTTTTAGTTCTTACATTTAGGTCTTTGATCAATTTTGAGTAAATTTTTATATATGGTATGAGGTAGGCCTCCAATTTCATGGTTTTGCTTGTGGATATTCAAATTGTCCCAGTACTATTTGTTTAAAAGACTCTCCTTTGCCCATTAAATGGTATTGGCATATTTGTTTAAGTCAGTTGATCATAGATACCCGGACTTATTTCTGGATTCTAAATTCTATTTCATTAATCTATATGTCTGTCCTTACACCAGTACCACACTACTTGATCAATGTAGCTTTGTAGTAAGTTTTAAAATCAGAAAGTATGAGTTTTCCAAACTTGTTCTTCTTTTCCAAGATTGTTTTGGTTATATCAGGTCTCTAGATTTCCATATGAATTTATGATCAGCTTCTCAGTTGCTGCCCAAAAGGCAAATGAGATTTTGATAGGAATTGTGTGGAATCTGTAGATCAATTTCAGGAGTATTGTCATCTTAACAACGTTAAATCTAAAACATGAACATGGAAGGCCCTTCTATTTATTTAGTTCTTTAATTTCTTTCAACAATGTTTTCCAGTTTTCAGTGTATGAATCTTATTAAATTTATTTCTAAGTATTCTTTATGATGCTACTATAAATGAAATTGTTTTCTTAATTTTGTTTATGGGTTATTCATTGCAAGTAGATAGAACATTCAATAGAATGTTCATTGCAATAGAAACACAATTGATTTTTGTATGTTAACAGTGTATCCAGTAACCTTGATAACTCAGTTTTAGTTCTAATAGTTTTTTGGTAGCTGCATTAGATTTTTCTATATATAACTTCATGCCATCGGCAAAGAGATAGTTTTACTTCTTCCTTTACAGTTTGGAAGCTTTTATTTCATTTACTTACCTAATTACTCTGGCTAGAACCTCCAGTACAATGTTGAATAGAGGTGGTAAGAATGCACATCCTGTATTGTTCCTGTTCTTAGTGGAAAAGCATCCAGTCTTTTCTTATAGTTTATGATATTAGTTGTGGGTGTTTTATTTTTTTTTTATTTTTTTTTTTAGAGATTTTATTTATTTATTTGAGAGAGAGAGAATGAGAGAGAGCGAGCGAGCGAGCATGAGAGGGCAGAGGGTCAGAGGGAGAAGCAGACTCCCTGCTGAGCAGGGAGCCCGATGTGGGACTCGATCCCGGGACTCCAGGATCATGACCTGAGCCGAAGGCAGTTGCTTAACCAACTGAGCCACCCAGGCGCCCCAGTTGTGGGTGTTTTGTAGATCCTTTTACCAGGTTGAAGAAGTTCCCTTCCCTTACTGTTTGTTAAGCATTTTTATCAATGAAAGGGTGTTGGATTGTTTTTTTATTTTGTTTTGTTTTTTTCCTGCATCTATCAAGATGATCTTATGCTTTTGTCTTGCATTCTTTTAATATGGTATATTACATTAATTAATCTTCAGGTGTTAAACCAATCTTGCATTCCTGCAATAATCCCACTGGTCATGGTGTATAATCCTTTTTACATGTTGCTGTATTCAGCTTACCTATATTTTTGCTCTAACCTCTTAACTGGTTTGCCTCTTTCTAGTGCACTCCATATAGTCTGTTCTCAGCCCTCTGGCTACAGTGTTGTGATTATGTCATTCTTTTCAAAATGCTCCAGGGACTTCTTTCCCACTCCATAGTAAAAGCTAAAATCTTACAAGATCTGATATAAATGAGCCTCCCAATTCTTCTAGGTCACATTTCCTGGCACTCTGTGCCTCATCTACTCTGCTCTTCCTATACCAGTCTCCTTGATATTTCTCAGAAATCCAAGAAAATTTGCACCTCAGGGCATTAGCACTTGCTGTATTCTCTTCCTTGGTTGTTTTTCTCCCATATGGCTTATTCCCTTCTTCCTTCAGGTCTCTGTTCAAATGTTGCCTCACTAGAGAAACATTTTTGGATCACGTTATAAAATAACAATGCTTTTACCCCCAAGTATGGCATAGTATTCCCCATTCTCCTTACCTGCTCTTTCTTGATAGCATATTTTACCATCTGACATTATATATGTATCTGTCTTTCCTCAAGTACAGCATAAGCTCAAGTAAGTATATTTATTGGGCAGGTATTATTGATTTATTACTATGGGCAATGTTCTAAGTGCTGGAGATAAAATGAAAAAAAAAATCCAGATAAAATCCCTGCCTTATGGAGCTTATCTTTTAGTAGGGAGAGACATTCAGTAACTAAAATATGGAGTATGTCAGTAGTGATGAGTACATAGAGAAAGATTTTGCAAGAAATATGGAGGTCACTAATATTCTTGGTAAAAGCAGTTTTAATGGAAGATGGATATGAAAACACAACTGGAATTGGTTCAAGTATGAATGAGAGGAGAAAAATTAAAACAGATAGTACAGAAAATTATTTTAGGGATCTTACTACTAAGGTGAATAGAGAAATGGGGTAGGAAGAAGAAATAACATATTTGTACATTGATCCAAACAATCCCAGTAGAGATAGAAAATAGGTATTATGGGAGACAGAAGAGAAAATTGCTGAGCTATGTCCTTTAGTAGTTCTTGAGAGAGGAT